CTTTAAACTTTCCTCTTATATATTCTGCAAATTCTTTCAAAACTTTATCAAACCATATCTTCGCGTGTTTCTTCTTTCCAAGTGCATAATAATCAAACGCAATTCCAAAAACTGTGCTAGTACGATATAATACTGCTCCCATTGAATAATTGTATATTTCTTTACGAATAGGAAGTGACTTGCAGAAATCCCCTCGATTTGCGTATACAACTGCCAAGCCCGCACTAGGTTCTAATGATTGAGGATCTAGTTCAAGATGTTTCCGAATACTGCGTAATTCAATAACCGTATCTTCAAATTTTTTGACGTTAAAAGGATTGGTAAGTAAATTTTTACAATCTTTGATGAGTTTATTTCGACGAAATTTATTTTCTTGTCCTTCTGAAATTTCCAACATGCAAAGTCGACATTTACAATCTATATCCATTGATTTAAGGTAACGTGCACGTCTTTCATAGGGAAGGGTCAAATCGTAATGACAGATAACTAGTTCTTCTCCTTTTAAAATAGGTCGAAGTGTTCGTATGAACATCAAGTCTCCAAGGAAAAGTCTGTAAACATTTGCATCAGCGCATGAATGATTAAAGTAAGATTGCTTGATCCATATTCCTAATCCGTTATTTTCATGATTGATATTATTTGTTCTATCAACTTGTTCGAAACTAACGTATGCGAATGTTTTCATAATTCTATCAATATCTACACAACGTAACATGTCTTTATTAAGTTTTTCCATAGGTAATAGGTTTGGTCCACAATACAACTGATAAAATTCACGACAAAGTTCTGGTTCCATCAAGAGCTTTTGAGTAATACGAATTACTAATTCTATTCCTGTTACCACAGACGAGTCAATGATACAATCTGGGGATACAACTTTGGAAATCATAGATAGAGTATGCTCGGGTGCTTCATTTTTATGTGCAATTTCAAATGGTTTTGAAGCCATTAAAAGGGAATGCTCTGGGATATCATATTTGGCAAACCACCCTCTTCCTTTACCTTTCGAAAGACGAATTTCAATATCATCAATTAAGTAATCAGCGTGATCCAATCTTGGACCTCCTTGATGGATCCAGATATTAGCAATTTCATTATCTTTAATTTTAGCTTTTTCATGCAATTCATCGATAATACATATATAATCATATTTTCCGTTTTGACTTTCATTTACTAACATTTCTATATGCTTCAATAATCCTATAGCACTTTTTTTAATCGAAACGTTATCATCGCGATCTTTGTGATTTTTTATTCTTTTACACAAATCTCGAAGTACTATAATGGCTTCTTGATAACGTTTAAGACCACAAAGTGCCTTACCTTTTCGAAAAGCTGCTTTCAGATGACTAGGTTCAAGTTTAAGAACCATTTCTACATCTGCAAGCGCTTTCTTAAACTGTTGCAGTCTCAAGTAGGCTTCAGCACGGTTAGCAAGCAATGCGGTATTGTATGGTTCCAACATAATACCACTCGAATATTCATGAACAGCTGCCATAAATTCTTTAGACAAAAAATAATCGTTTCCACGAAAACGAAATTCATCAACAGATTGTTTATTTCTGATAATAGAATAAGTTCCTTTTGGTCGATCCGTGCGCCATGCTGCGTCACATAGTTGAAATTTTCTATCAATAATCATGATAACATCATCCGGATTATCCGAATAAATAATCGCGTTTCCGTCACCAGCAATTTGATAGGATGGATTTCCAATTACAATTTGTGTACCTATAGGTAGATACTTTGAAGCATGATCGACAGAAAGTGGTTTCATTGGTCCTCCCCCTTGAGAGACTGATTTCGGATTAAAATTATACAAAGCGAGTCGTTCCACGTCACCTTCCGGATCCTCCACAACGGTTAAAAGAGCGTTTATTTTTATGCATCTTGCTATTACTCTACATAGTAAAAATTTTCCATGATGTTCTTTATTGATTCGTAAATCTTTTATTAATATTCTATTTTCCAACGTGAATTTGATTTTTGGTGTTGGTTTTATGTTTCTTTGTTCATAGGTATTATAAACTATAAATAAATTTTCCTTATAAGCTTGATCAAAATGATTCAATCTACGTTCATGCTCTGAAATTAGTTGTTGTCTGCTTTTTTTTTGTGAATTACTACTAGTAATACGCAAAAAAGCAGTTTGTAAAATTTCATCATATAAAGCTCTTGCTATAGGTTCGTCGGTTTTGAAATCCATATTTTTTTTCAACCTTAATTAAAAAATTAAGAGTACTGGTAATTTATTAACGTGAAGATTTTATAAGTTTGTTGTGATCTGACTTCGCACATGATCAATACGTCATTATGACGTATTTTAAATGAAACTAACTACAATAAATTGAAATATTTAAAATTTTACTAATTTGCCAATATGTCACATTTAATACAGGTTTCGACTACTAATTTAATATATCAATATTATTTATTTATGTAATTGTGAACTTTTTGTCACTTAATAATCTTAATAATCTTGCATATACATTATCAGATAAAATGAATTATTTCGACCATTATTATATATTTTCACGGAAAATTTTGCACATGCTTATTAGTGAGGATAACAATAATAGTGTATATATTCTGTTAAAACGTGATTTCTCATCCATTTTTAGTATAACATAGATGTTTGAAACAAATTTTTATGAGTTTAAATTGTCGAGATGGGGGTTTATTCAACAATCTCAAAAATGGATCCGTATCATTTCACTGCAATCTTCATACGTAGAACAACTTATCTCACCGACAAATGATTCACAAGAGGTATATTTTGTATAGACAATCAATTTACGGACAAGTTTATTTCACATTGAGATAGTTTATTTCACCGACAGTTCATTTCCATAGACAGTTCATTTCACATTTTTTTTCTTATAATCGACTAGCCATAATCTGTGACAATGACAAATACTAGAATTACTTTTTCTGTAGAAATGAGCTGTCGATGAAATAATTGTCTATGAAATGAGCTGTCATCAATAAACTGTCTACGAAATAAACTTGCCTGTGAGTTGATTGTCTGTAAAATAAACTTGTTTGTGAACTAATTGTCGGTGAAATAAGGTGTTTCTACGAGGTACAAAATGAGCAGCACCGGCAAAAATCCCTCGCATAGAAAGATATTATTTTGTTCTGCAGCTGAATAGAAATTAGTAACTGACTCAATCTGTCGAGTCTCTATAATGCATAATGTAAGTTTTTTTTTTTTTATTTAACTCTAATTTTTTTATTTATAACCTTCAAAAAACGCAGTTCTATTGTTAATCTAGAGTCAACGGACAACTGATACAGGGAGAGAGTCACGTGTGACGTAGTAAATGGGATACATTGTGGTACAGTCCGTATTCATTTCACCAGAAAACTGGTGCACCGTTGAAGATTAGTTTCATCTATAACTCTAGTTTCACCATCGGTGCACCAGTTTCACCCGGTGCACCATTAAAGATTAGTTTCACCTGCAGCTCTATTGGACAGGTAATAATATGGTGAATTGGATTATATAATACTTTATGACTTATTTGCATGTGTATCGGTTACAGCCGGCCTAATACTTACCTATCGTCTCTTTTGACAGGCTCATCCGGATTGAATCCGCATTAGATTATATATATAGCTAGCTTTGTGCACATCCTTAGATCCATTATTTAAGTTTTGTGATCAAATCTCTGATCTTGATATTTGAATTTAGTATAAAGTTTCATAGAGTTTCTATAAGATACGTAAGATGAAAAGTTTTTTGTAGTATATCTTGATTGAAGAGTCAATCAGATTATCGGATTTAGGATCGTGATAGTTCGATCACGTGAGTACACAATTCTCCGGTTTATTTTATGCGTACGTATCACGTGCGTACGTACTTATTCTTGAAATATGTGAGCCGATCGGACCATTCAAGATCATTTTCAATCTTTTTTCCAACTCTTATTTGGACCTTTCTATCAAATGCCATTATCTAATTCGTTATCAGCGGTTCCAGCAACATTTTTATCCTCTTAGTGGACGGTCGATAATTGGGCTATTACAGGTGCGTCATTAATTCGTCGCTCGGTTGGTATGTTCTAGCTATGTATTACTGGCTAACCCTCCTTTTGTTATCCTCAATTTCTGATCACCATCTATTTTACGCGTCGTTATTACTCTGTTTCTCTCGTCGTTTTCAACACTTATTCACACTCTTCATTGATCCTTGATTTCCAACAACGTACTTTTATTTTCAAATTTATTCTCGACCACTGCCTTTACATTAATCGAAAAGATCTACCTTTTGATGATTAAGACTTTCAAGGCCTTTATCATTGGAAATATCTAACTTCAATATATTTCAAATGTCGTCTTTCGTCCTTTATTATGCTTGTACCATTTTATTTGGGTTGTTACATTCAGTAGCAATTCTACTCCTTTGTCTTTTTCTAAGATAATCGATTCTCTAATGCCAATTCGTTCGGTTTAATTTCTGATGCTCCTGCATCCTTTAGTTGATTACTAACAACTTATATAAGTCATCGAATGATTCTTCGGATCAATCTTGCAGCAATAGGTTTCTCTTCGATTGCTTAATGCGAAGGCGTCGTGATCATCATCGACTTAAGGTTCAAGATAATAACAATTATCAACACTAACGTCCCTTCTGCGAGTCTTATCTCAAGGTATTCTTGATAGTCAATGAACGTTTCATATTCATTCATCCTAACTCTATCTAAGATTGTTCGTTACACTATTGTAATCCATGTCAACGAGTCTTTCATTTATTTCTGACTTGATAGGATTGATGAGAATATCGTACTACTTATGGTTATTCAGGTAGTGACTTCCTTCTTTTAGTTTATCAATCTATTCCACTTGATCATTATTTTAAATTCGGTTACTTTTTTTCATCCACAAATCGCAGGCGCGATTCAAATTCCTTTTGACGAGTTATTCACTACTTCTATCATTGTTACCTTTTTCAATTCCCGATTTCATGTTTGCAGAAATGTTCAAGGCTATATGCCTCGTCAGTACGGCCCATTTTGGATCATTCTTTCACAACCGGATTGAACAAGTATAATTTCGAATCTTGCTTCTTCTATTTGAGACGCTTTGCTCTCAAATATCTCGTTTATCTCTTGCCATTTTTTATCCTTGTTAACACCTATTTCGTTTTGGTAACAACGTTCGACAACACACGTTTTACGATCGGTTAGCGACTCTTAGCCAGTAGCCGCTGTCATAACCGATCAATTATACGGTTAATAGCTGGCTATAGTCGATCAATTATTTAATCAATTATTTAATAAGAATCAATATAAATGTGCTCTAAGTGTATATAAAATGTACCCTAAGAGTATATAAATTTGGTGTTGATTTTTATCAAAACAATCTAATTCCGGTCAAATTTGCAGATTTTTTGGCCTGGAAATCCTGTAAATTTGACCAGAATTAGATTGTTTTGACAAGGATCGACGCGTCATGTAATAACACGCAGGAGCGTTATTTCGAATTTCGGCCCGAATTAAGCTTAATTTAGGCCGTAATTCGAAATTACACCCTTGCGCGTTATTTCGCCATGTGTTATGCGTCACGCCAAAATTAGTCACACCTACCTTCATCACACCCAAAATAGAAAAATTTCAAAGACAGGCGTTTAAACCCGCCTTTAGGCACTAGTAATACATTTCCTAACCCTAACTTAAAATCTAGCAGCAGTTACGATTTTAATAGGACCCCGAATAATTCTAAAGTAGGTGGTACTGTAGGGCAAAAGTGGTAGATTTTTTGGGTCAAACTTGTCTAAATTAAATTAAAATTTAATTTGACCAGAATTTAGACAAGATTGGCACAAAATCTACCACTTTATGTCCTACCACCTACCTTAGAATTATCCAGGGTCCTATTTTAATCGGTCGGCTAAGCCGCTCTGACCGACTAGCATCGACTACGATGTTAACCTGTAAATACCTCCCGGAATTGAGGCTAACGGATCAACTAATAACAGGGAGTCACATGGGTATGGGGACACAAGAACCGTACTGTGGTTTGATAAAATTATAAGTATATTTATTAAGCAAGAGGGTTTATAGATAGTGATTTTAGCAATACGAAAGAGTACGTGATATGTAAATTTATAGAATCAAAGAAAATAAAGAGTGTCCTTTTTATTAATAAAATGCTATGACAAGCATGCCTCCAAAGTGGAATGAAACTCGCCCGTTTATATAATAAAATAACTACTAATAAAATTATATGGCATTTATGCCATAAATATTTAATTATTTATGCTGTTAATCTTATTTCTAACATTCTCTCATATCCGTCTCTCATGCCATTTCTTCCACATCCGCCTCTTATGCAATAAGTGGCTGATGTGACAGAAATGGCAGATCTGGCATTTTCGGCACAGCACTCCTGTGACCTACAATTAGCCCGTGACCTAAAGAACGTCAAAGGTATACTAGCAGGGGTAACAACGGCTATAGCCGCCGGCTAAGCGACTAAACCTTGACCGAACCCATCCTTAGGTATTGCTCGTATTAGCAGGTTTTCGACAACTGATAAACTTCTTACTCCACCTTGATAACAATAACCGATTTGGAATGATTCATAATCATTGTCATCTGATGTATTATTCATTTCAGGTGATTTTAAATAATACTTAAACTCATACTCGTTTTCTTTTATTTTTAGTTATAGCTGTTTCAGAGTCTTTATCAAATCCAGTATTGTGATCCTTATCAGCTGATGTTTGGCAATCAGTAATTGCAGTACATTTATCCATTTCAATTCAACTCCGTAACTAATTTTATTCCTCATTAGCTTGATCCATTTCTTCGAAATCGTCAGATTTGTTATGACACATTTATTAATTTCCCATTCCCTATTTTCATTATCGTCAAAATGTAAATTTAAAATGTCACAAGTTGTGTCATATTTATCATCCAGAATCCCATTTTCCTTAACACAAGTAGTTTGTATTCTGATTGTAGCAACCAAAATTACGTGTTCCGTCAGTATTGTCAGTCCTTACTGATTTTCGATAATGATGAATCTTTTATTTCTCTTTTTCGATTCCACCTCAATTTGATTGCAATGTCAAAGACTACTCGTTTTATCATAATGATCCATATTTGCTAGTTTCAATAATTGTTGAACACCTTATGTTGAACCTTCTTAACTTTGATTCTACGTCGATAAGCAGATGCTTCCTCAATATAACTTATCTCTACAAGTTCTTGGCTATGAGCAGAAGCTTTCTATGTTGTACTTGGGTCACTGGACGTAATAAGAGTCAAGGACCTCGGTAATCATTGGTCTTTTTTATCAGGACTTTACTGAACGGGGTCCTTAATACATGAGGATAAGTTTATAGTTTCTTCTGTCTCACTTTCGTCTTTTATACGCATCTTTTCTAATTCTTTCAATGTAAACTCTAGTTCCTCAGGAATCTAAGGGCAACACTAAAATTCTCATTTATTATTTTTTGGACTACTTCTATTTGTTCTGAGTTAAGTGCCGTAAAAAACCTAATGTCTTTTCATTTAGCCCTTTTACAGTCGGACATATAGACACAGTGTGTCCTTTTATGTTACAATAAGAGCACCAGGACTTTTTTTTTTGGACGAATCCTCAGGTAGTTCATCATTTCTAAACTTTCGTTGGGTTGTTGTAGTTGGGCCTATTTATTCGGTACTAGGCGCTTTTCTTCAATGTTGGCGTGGTCTAGCTTGATTTACGGTGGATGTTCAATTTTATTGTAAGTTGTCGTAAGAATCCATTTTATGTGATGCTGGAAAAGTATCTTTCAATATTACATATCTTACGATATCTTGGGTGGTCTGAGTTTTACCACCAAACTATTAACTGCAATCTACTTCTCAATACCTGGGGTCAACGGACACCTAATACAGAGAGTCGCATGTGCGTAATAATATGGAGCTACGCTGTGGTATCTAATAATCGGATGGGCAATGAACGAGAGGATAATGTGGCGTTTGGTTATTATTATAAGTGAATGACCGAGATCGGTTGATTAGTTATTTTACATAGTGGGGCGAAAGATGCCCTTTATATATGTTGTAAGTGGGAACAGAACTAAAATTGGAATTCACTTATATTGGAATTTAACAACTACACCGAAATCTAATCTTTACCCTTACTCTAACTTTAATAATTCCAAATCAACTTAAATTTATTTTCACTTCAATAAATACATAAATTTTAATAGGGGACCAAAGTGTTTTATCTTTTATAGATTTAATTTTTCATTTAACACTTTTACTAAAACGCACTTCTGGTGTTTTACTATCTATATTGCATTATCTTAAAACTGGCTAATTAATTAATAAGCGATGCTCTAAGTAAAATTGCTACACGTCCCTAAAACCTTGATCCTAACACTAAATACTAACCCACTGTGCTAAAAAATTTTATATACAGAACTTATTAAAACCTAGAAAAATATATAAGAACATACAATAGGAGTAAACTAGTGACTGGACTCGTATAAACACGTGACTCGCGAATTAAACCAAGAAGAGTGCTCGAATCATTCGATTGAATTACTTAATCGAGTTTTGCTCGAGTAATTCGAGTCATGGCAATTGGTTTATTGATAAATTTATAAATTGCAAGTTGCAAAAACAAATAGCGAGTTACATGAAGCAAATATAATTCAATTTTGTATGTTACTTGTGTATCGGGTGGCGCGAAGCCACCCCACCTATTCAATTTTGATTTTTATCATAGCTTATGAAAATATACTACGTATTATAGGTATTACAAATAGAAATTAAACCACAGGGTGTACTATCTTTTATTGAATTTATTACAGGTTTTTCGACCTATTTCGTTTTTTAACCAATCAAATTCGTCTAAATACCAATCAAATTCGTGTTTCAATCAAATTAGTATATTTTGATCTATCGTTGATAACTCGTTATCTAGTGGTTCGATTTTGATGAAATTGGTACCATTCGAATCCTCTCCATGAGAGGATTCGAATGGTATCACTTTCACCAAAAGTGAACCACTAGATAACGAGTTATCAACGATAGATCAAAATATACTAATTTGATTGAAACACGAATTTGATTGGTATTTAGACGAATTTGATTGGTTAAAAAACGAAATAGGTCGAAAAAACCTGTATATAATTAGTTTGATAATAGATGTTATGTTATAATTTGCTTTTAATGTTATACACTCTTTTAAATTGTAATTTGTTCTTTATTTGTTAGGTTTGAAGAATATGTTTGAGTTTTCAATTATCCATAATAAATTTTGAATTTAAATGTTTTTGAGACAATGATAATTAAGTATAAAAGTATATAATTTAAAGTGAAATAACTAATATTTATTTAAGTTTTTACATAATAAAAGTTATCAGAATAAAGTAAATTTAGATAAAATATATTTGATTGAAGCATAAGGATTGCTTACATATATAGATATAGTAAACTAAATAAAATAAGATAATAGAAAAAATTAAGGACACAAATGTAATACTTATTCTTTATCAGAATAATTATCGATTACTAAATAAGTTGGGTTTTTAGTACGTGTAGTTCTAATAGGGCGATTTTTGTTTTTTGTTTGATTTCATGTGGGATTTTTTTGTGGTTTATTTTTTTGGTTGGTTTTTTAAGTTCTTCTTGATCAGATTTATGGTCAGTATTAGTGAATTCTTCTTCGGTAAGTTGGTCAGCTTCTTCAGATCTTTTATGTTTTGCTAAAGGTTCACATTCAATATCACTCGAAGCAGTCATTGGTGGTGTTTGAATAATGGGTGTATCTTTTACATTATTAGTTATACTTTGGCGGATGTATAGGAGTTTAGATCTTGTCGAATTCATTGAGGTTGATTGGACTTGGTGATCTGGTTCAGAATTTTTTTTTTAGAATATTCACATTAACATAAGTAATATCTTTTGTATTAACATAGAATTTATTATCTATAACTTTCATTTGACCAACTACAAAAATAATTGATTCTTGTAGTTGAATAGATGTTTTGAGATGTTCGAATCGTGGATTTACATGTGAAAAAACTACATAGATTGTATATTCATATTCTTGACTAATATAGTCAGTTATAAGCATTTCAATTACAGAGTTATCAGAATTTTCAATTGCAGTTGGCTTTTTTTTGTGGAGTTCCTATCAAAGGCACTTTTAGAGAACACTTATTTGAATCAGAAGCTCTATTGGTAATAGTTAAGTGAGTTGAGGTTGCATCCATCATCTAAGTATGACAATTAATATATTATTATGTATTATTTATTAGTTTTGTTTTAATGATTTTATGCTTTTTTGATATATATAATGGTGTATAATTATTATCATATGTATTATATTGGATTTTTATCTTTGGTCTAGTACTTCCGGCATAATGACCAGGTATGATTTTTCTGCTAACAGAATAGTATTCATCTTTTCTAAAAATAGCTTGTGTTTCAGGGTTTCATTCAACAGATCTACACAGTACATATAGAACAACTTCTATTTCATTATCTTTATCTACAGGATACAAATTAATAGCCTATACTGAAACTGATTTAGCATCTTTTGTTTCATTTTGTTTGGTATGTTTAATTTTTATAATAGTATCTAAATAACAGGGCATTTTTTTATATATTTTTAAGTTTTAATAATGATAATGATATGGATTAATTTTTATTTTTAGTTGAAAGGAGAAAATATAATACTTTTTATATTTTATGAGATCAAATGAAAAGTTAATATACGTTAAGCATTTGTAATGACTATATATGGGTGCCATCAAGAGAAAACCTACAATTGGGGCTTTCAAGCATATTTTGTGTATAGTTGGCTATCTGTATGTCATCTATGGTAAATTTATATTCTATAATAGATTTACATAGACAGCATACAGATAACCAACTATACACAAAATATACTTAAAAGTTTGATTGTAGGTTTTCCCTTGACAGCACCCATATCAAGAGAGTGGTTTTTTAGTAAAAAGGTGATTTTACTTTTTAGAATAGTATAATTGTTGATCAATGTGTTCTTTTTTTTAAGCCTCTAATAATAATCTTATCTATCAGTATTTTCTATTTATTAATGTCAACAATATGTATAAATTTAGTAATTTAGTAATAATGATATAACATAATATAATATTCATATTCAGGATTAAATAATTTTTAGGCAAGATTAAATAGAATAAATAATTTAAAATTAAAATCAATTTTCTAATCGTTTATTCTCTAAAGAAAGTTCTCATAATAAGGATATACATAACATATAAGCAATTCACATTTGAATTTTTTTTTTTATTATTAGACGAAAAGTTTCGATTGGTTTATTTTACACTGTTACTCACTATTTTTCCTCAAGACAGATATGCGTTTGTTTAGTTCTACTAATTTTTCAATCAACGATCTTCCAAGCCTTCGATGAAATCATTAATGTAAATCACGAAGCAATTGGCTAAAATTGACAAACCAGATAGTAATCTGAAATGAAAAGGAAAAAACAATGATCATTAAATTGAGCCAGCATACATTGTATGTACTAATACAAATAAAGAATTGATCTACAGATTGATGAGTCGACGGTGAAATTGTAGTATAGATAAAAACAAGTATAATTTAATTTGGATGTTCTATAGAATAGGTGGGCAAACTCCACAAACTCCGCAACTCTGCTAAATATTTATTAATGATTACTAATTGTTAGCAGAGTTTATTTTTTATATTGCCCACCTATTCTATAGAACATTCTTAATTTATGTGTTATAAAGCAAATATATCAATTACAAGTTACAAATGCAATAAACTGATTCATAATTATATCATAAAACAATCTTTAAATATTCTGTGCTTATGGGTGAGGTGGTTAATTTAAATTTGAAGTCCATCATTATATGTGTATCATTTTTCTTCCCATCATCCATTATAATTTCACAAGTGGAAGTTATGCTCTCCTTTTGAAAATATTCCTAGACGAAACTTGGAGTAGTTCTACTTTTAGACATATGGGTAGTTGTGTTTTGACCAAGGTTGGCAATGGACTATGATGGGTTTGAATAAATTGTCAATGGATATTGTCTATTGGGCCAATGAACATAGTCCATTGGCATTTGCTAAGCCACATTTTGGTCCATTGGCCAACCTAGATTTTGATATTCTCTTTATTACAAGATTACTCCTGTTCATTAGTGCTTTTGTTTTGCTCTATGTTTATATTATGATTTTGTTTTTTAAGTTTTTTAAACATCTTTATTTTTATTAAAAATTTTGTGATTGCAATAAATTACGTAGTAGTTTTTAAAGAATTACATAAAAATTATGACATTATTTATGCAGCTTATAAATTTATTAATACAAAGTATTAGTTATTTTAAACTTCATTATATATCAATAATTAGCTCATGAGTATAGATGCTGGTGAAATTAATTTCACCAATTTCACCAATTCACCACCAATTACACCAATAGTGGTGAAATTATTTTACCACATTTCACCATATTTCACCAGCATCTATACTCATGAGTACTCGCGAGTTAAAAAAATTATGATTCGAACTCAAATTATTCAAGTCACAAGTTGGCAAATTCAGTTACTAGAGCAAACCATCATAGTGCATTTTATAATAAATATAAATTAAAAAATTGTAAAGAAAAAACAATTGCTAAAAAATACTTCACTATAAAATCAAATGTTTCAGATCTATAAAATTTAAGTTTATTAATAATTTTTAAATTGTGAATTCATATTTATAATATAATTTATTATAACACTTTGCAAAAGATGTGAATATGTAATTTTAGTGATGATAATAGCTAAGAATCACTAAGATTCCAGATTGTCTGTTACTTTATATTTTCATTTATATTTCTTTAAAATCAGTTTATAGCGTTTTGCAAAAAGATGTAACCCAGTGATTTTTTTAATGATGATGGTTGAGAATCACTGAGATTCTAATTATAAAATCTAAATTTAAAAATCATGTAAATTTTATTGTATAATGATAATTATTTTGAATTATGCAATTAATATTATCAAACTATTACATAGTGCTTTGACTTTTTTTTGATAAATATATTTACTCATTCTTTATATGTATTAATTTTTTTTAATTATTTCTTTAATGGCTGATGCCCAAGAAACAAAACTGAAATATCGTCGAGGAACATGTTTAAGCTATCGAAAATGCTTATACTGTGGAATTGACTTACAATATCAAAAGTGTAATTGCAACTTATTGGATATACCATATAAAGATAATCAAACTACTGCTGTTAAATATGCATTTACACGAATATTTAAACCATACTAGATAAAAAAACAAGTGGAATATATTCGTCAAAAAATAGCACTTTACAACTATTTACTAAGTTTGAAAGAAACTTTTAGTTTTTTATTATGTTCTCAATGCAATAGTATTTTATTGAGGCTGTCTTCAAAGACAAAAAAGCATAAAGCAATATCAAGTTCCGTGAAGCCTATAGCAATATCAGGTTCCATAATTACAACTACTAATAGTTTTTCAGAGATTGAATCGTATGATCTTACTGTTCTAGATAGTAATACTATTGAATTTGAAGAAAAAGTTGAGTAGGAGTTTGCTAAAAAAGATTATAGTCAAACTAAATATAATGATTATGAAAATAGTAATGATAAATCTTTATCTGATAAGGAGAAAGAATAAAAATACAATTATGGTATTTTTATTAAATTAGAAAATAGTACAACTCTTCTGGCAAAGTGGTATATTTCTAAATATCCACAGTTGATGAATTACTTTCAGAAATTCATCAAAATATTGAAGCATTAACAAAAAGAACCCCAATTGAACCCTGGTACTCAATTAGTAGATAATTTTGATTTTAAAAAATTTTAAGCTGATTACTGTAAATATACTTCTAAAAATGTTGATATGATTTTTCTTATAACATTTATCAATTCAACTTCAAAACAAAGCATAACAGTAAGTATTCATATTGAATTTATATATATATATATTTTGTATTAAAGTGACTTCATTGGCCTGAGTACTTTTTATTAGAGTATAGATAATGTTTTATAGTATAATTACAACAATGGTACTAGAGATAGGCACCATGTGCATGAATGCATGCATGCATGCATGCATGTGCATGATTTATGCAATTTTATACTAATATGCCCATACAAGATTAATATAACTATCTCTTTTATAGATTAAATATTTTCTTTAACTTTGAACAAAAATATCTCAGCAACTACAAAGCTAAATTTAATAAACTTTTTTTTATTTGAATTTTATAAATTCATAAAATTCAAATAAAAAAGAATTTATAAAAATTGACTTAGTAGTTGCTAAGATATCTTTGTTCAAAGTTTTAAAAAAAATTTAAAATATCTATCAAAATAAGCTATATAGAATTTTCTCTAAGCTTTGAGTAATGATATCTCAGTATCAACAAGGTCAAATTCAATGAACTTTTTTTTATTTAAATTTTATGAATACATAAAATTCAAATAAAAAAGATTCACAGAATTTGATTAAGTCGTTGCTAAGATATCTTTATTCAAAGTTTTAAAAAATTTTCAAACTGCCAAAAGCTATGCCAAAATTCTCTTTAAACTTTGAAAGAAGATATCCTGGCAACCATAAAGCCAAATTTAATTTTTTATTTTATTTTAATTCTATAAATTAATAGAATTTAAATAAAAAAAGTTTATTAAATTTGGCATTATAGTTGCCAGGATATCTTCTCTCAAAAGTTAAAAAGAATTTTGCATAGCTTTTGTTTTGATACATTTTGAAATTTTTTAAAATTGAGTAAAGATATTTTAGCAACTACTTAGTTAAATTAGATAATTTTTTATTTAAATTCTATGAATTTATAGAATTTAAATAAAAAAAAGTTTATTAATTTTGATCTTGTGTTTGCTAAGATATCATTACTCAAAGTTTAGAGAAAATTCTGTATAGCTTATTTTGATAGATGCTTTAATTTTTTCTAAAACCTTAATCAAAGATATCTTAGCAACTACTAAGTCAATTTTAATAAATTATTTTTTAATCGAATTCGATGAATTTGTAAAATTTAAATAAAAAAAGGTTTATCAAATTTGGCTTTGTAGCTGCTAAGATATTTTTGTTTAAACTTGGAAAAAATTTTGTAAAGTCTATTTTGTTAGTGATTTAATTTTTTTTTTAAAACTTTAAGCAAAGATATTTCAGTAACTACTAAACTAAACTTGAAGAACTTTTTTTATTTGAATTCTATGAATATATAGAATTTAAATAAAAAAAAGTTTATTAAATTTAGGTTTGCAGTTGTTGAGATATCTTTATTTAAAATTTAAAAAAAAATTAATTTATAAATATAGTATATACTTTATATAATATGCATGCATGCAGCATACCATGCACATGCATGATATAAAAAACACTATTTTGCCTATTTCTAGATGGTACATCAAGCCACATGTGCATTTTTGGTGCCTAATTTAAGTGGTTCACCCAAAACGTTAGTGCTATGCTAAGGGTTCCCACTATCTGCCATACCTGCACCCCAACTATGGGGGTACTTATTTAAACTATCTAGTTCTAACTACCATTATCAGCTCTCTAACCCATGGGTATTACTCACTATTCATATGTGGATTTTGCATCTACCTGCTTTGGATTTTGCACCCTACCTTAGGACTTACTAACTTAAGCTAGTCTATCCTTGAGGTAAACCTAACAGAGCGATATATGTTCCACATATGTATTTACCTGCATGTTTCTATAACTTCTTCCTAATTAGTATATATTGACCTGCCGTTTTGTATGCGTATCTCACACCACCTTTTGGGTGCTGCCATTCTACAGATATTTCTCAAGCACCAACCTTCCTAATCAGGTGCCCATTACATACTCACTGCTCTTATTCAGTTCACAACAACCCCGATACCTGCATTTGAACCATCTTCTTATTTGGATTCTTTATTGGTCCCTCCCTTACTTCCAGCCGCAACCCATAAGAGTTGGTCTGCTTAGGCTTTAGGTGCCTGAAAGACGTCCTCCTCTTGGTTCATACTTTCAGAGTGTATGCCCTTTTCCTCTGGTGCGACAACCCGACAGTTCAGCTAGTGTGTCCTCTACCAGTGGACCTGGGTGCTCGGTTCTTAAATCTCAGGCCCCAGTTCGAATTCAGCCCTTCTGTGGTACTGTCGAAGATTACTGCTACCTCCAAATTTGGAACTTGCCAAATGGGTTTTCGGTTATAGTGGTTTCTCAGATTTATTGTGCCAAAGCTTCCATTACTAGATAGTGTGACTGAAGTTACAGATTAGTTCTAGATCCAACCGATTAGCATAGCCGTTAACTAAACACAGGCCCATTTTTCAAATATCGTCACCAGTGGGATTTGAACTCTAGACCTGCCACTTAGAGAGGGTGACGACTAGACCACTACACTAAGTTACCATACCTCTTATATATATATATATATAACTAATTATATATATGATATTTTTATATTTTTAGGATCTTGAGTTAAATAAAACTTCAGATAATGAATTTTAAAAATAATAATTCAATTTTTAAAGTTTCGAATTTATCACCAAGTGAATCATTAATAGCAAAAAATGTTTTAGATATTCATAAAGAAAATCATTGTTTAATTTATAACCAACCTTGTTTGAATAAAGATAGTGCTAAAGAAAATCATATTGAAATTACATTTATGATGCTTTCGATCTGGGCATCTGAAATTGTAAGAAAAAATTATATTTAAATTTTAAAAAATATATATTATAATATTTTTTTATTTTTTTGTATAAAGAGTAAAGCTATGGCATCATCAAGTGAACCTTCTACACATCCGTTATTTGTATACAAACATCAGTCAAAAAGAAGATGATTATCATCACCATTTTCAATATTATTATCTTTGGCATCATTACAAGCAACTTCATCTTCAGCACCATTCCAAACAACTTCATCATCTTTAGCATCATTTCAAGGATCTTCACCTTTAGTACCATTACAAGTACCTTTGTCTTTAGTGCCACATTCTAATTATTTACAACAGCCAATTTATTCAGGACAATATTATATTTCATCTCCATTTTATAATCCATATATGTCATATTTTCCTTCACAAATTTATAGATCACCTTTTCAATTACCTATTTGATCACCATTACAATCAACTATTAACTCTACAATTAAAGATTTTTTAAAATATATAGATAAACATGAAGGTACTAAAAACTATTATCAAGGATTTTTACCAAAATTTAATCATCAAAAAACTACTATACGATTACTTCCTAAATTATTAAATAATGACTTTGAAATATGTGGTGTGAATACTATTGGTAAACAGCAAATTCTTCGTGAATATGCAGAAAATTATAATTCATATTTTATATCAAATGATACATCATCTATTGAAGAAACATCTACTTATAGCCTACAGCATTAAAAAAACTACATGATTGCAAAGAGGTAATTTGAGAACATGCAACTAACAATGGATATTTAGGATCCAAACAACTTTCTACAAAATATTGATGTCTTTTTAAATAACTTTTTATAGATAAAAAAGCTAACTCTATCGGATTGAGATCAGGTGAATAAGGAGGATGAAATTTCACCCATACACCAAATACATTTAGAAATTTATGTAATCCATTATCATGATGTATTCTTAGCTAAAAAAAAATAATTAAAATTTTATTTTTATTATTATGTAATAAAATAAATTATAATTTATACCACTTGTGTAATTACAAATTCTTTAAAAAATTTTTTTACAACTATTTTCTATATACTAACAGCTATAACACCATCCAAAGTAAGTGCAGGTAAAATTGTATAACATTTACCATGTAGAAACACAATTTTTTTAATTTCTTTTGAATTCATTTGTGAATATCCATATTCTCTATTGATTGTCCATTCATCTTTATAAGATTTATCTAAAAACACTAATTGATTGCTTGTATAATGAGATCTGATATGTGCCATAAAGGCACTACAAAGTAATTCATTATACTCTTTGGCTGCTTTATGTAGCTAAAATAAAATGTTAGATAAAAGTATATATTATTATACTTGTATAGTTATATAAAATTAATACCTTCTTTCGTGTTATGCCACAGTAGGCTAATGAACGCCATATAGTGGAAATTGAGACATTTTTGCCAGATCGTGCTTCCATTTGCAAAATAATTTTATCAAGATATAAACTTGGATTTTCTTGAACAATACTTCGCAAAATCTATTATTTATTAATATAAGTTCTAATAAAGTTACTAATAATATAAGTGTAATAAATATTTTTACTAAAATTCATATCACTTTGATTAAAAGTTTTATGTCGTCCAGGCATTTGTTGCCAAGGATTGGTTACAGTTCCCCATTTTCTATAAATTCGCAATACTTTTTTTACCAAACTTTTGCTAATATAAAGAAGCTTTGCAATTTGTGATATTGAAAAGTTATCATAATGTAAATAAATTATGCGCCATTTCAGATCATTACTATACGCAACAACCATGTTAAAGAAAAATATAATATTATTAAAACCATGCTAAAGAAAATAAAGTTATGATATTATTAAAACAATGTTGAAGAAAATTTAAAATACATTAATTATTAAAACTATGTTAAAAGAAAATACAATGTTTATTAAAATATTTGTTTTTATTTGAAAATCGGTAAGATTCTTGAAATCGCAAAAAATCTACAAAATCTCCGATTCTCATTTAGCATTGTGATCTGCAGAGGTCACATCTTTTTGCAAAGCGCAATAATTCTTAAAATCTCAAAAAATCTAGAAAATCTCCGATTCTCACATGAAAAAATGATCTGCAGTGTTCACATCTTTTTGCAAAGCGCAATAATTTGTTTTGAGTTAAATATAAATATGATTCTTATTATTGCAACGAAAATTTGTAAATAATATAATTATATGTAATAAAGAACTGGAGGAAAAGACCTCTCCTAAAAAAAAAAAAAAATAAAAAAAATAAATATGATTCTTATTCCTTTTTAAAACATTGATTATTCCTACTAAATTAGGATTTAAGGATGTTCTTTTAGATATAATTAAATTACTTTTAAGCACTAATTCATTTTATAATATTTATTTAAATTATTACCATTGCTAATTTTTAATATTCTGTTTTCAGATAAGTACATAAGAAAATATAAACAATTGTGTTTGTTACTATTTAACTATTTTATTGATTTATTGCTACAAGATTTATATATTTTCACCTTGTTATTTTTCACATCGTTTATAGCATCGTTGTAACTTATTAAAAATTATAGGACGCATCGTTATTTAAAGTTTAAGCCCATCGTTTTAATAGTAAACGCAGCCGTTTATATTTATTTACACATGTACTTGAAAACAGAATATTTATCGAAAATTTAGGCATTTAAATATTGTGCTTTGCAAAAAGATGTGACTTCTGCAGATCACAATGTTGTGTGAAAATCGGAGATTCTGTAGTTTTTAAGAATCTTAACAATCTCAAATTAATATAAATATAACCGATCGAAAATATTCCTCGTTCATCATCACAAAAATCATAGGGGTCACATCTTTTTTGCAAAACGCTATAATATAAAACGATTATATACTTAGAATCGATTCTAAATTTTAGAATCAATTTCAAACCATTTAACGTTTGTAAAAACGATTATAGCGCTTGCAAAAAGATGTAGCCATATGATTTCTGTAGTGATGTTCGGGAGAAAATCTGAGATTTTAGATTGCCTGTTGATTTACTTGAAATCGATAAAATTCTTAAAATCGATGGAATCTCCGATTCCCACATGACTTTATGATCTGCAGTGGCCACATCTTTTGCAAAGCGCAATAAAACGATTATACGGGAAATGAAAAACGATTCTAATCCGATTAACGATTAAAATGATCATTATAGAATCGATTTACAACCCTACCTAATACTTATCTATCTATTGTCCCTTACGTATTATTAAAGCAACTTGTGGTGACTCCAATGATAAAGAGATAGAAGGGAGAGACTCCGATTATGTGAGCGCATGGCACCGTTACACTATTGACGTCAATACTATTTATTTAGTAGCAAATTATGCGTCATGCTGCTACACCTTTTGTCACATGTTCAACGCAATTCTTCTAGGCCACCAAACACAATTAAATTTGTGCCTCGTGTTATGTTACGCCACAAGTTCATAGTTTATTATACCCCCATAGGCAAAAATCATCGTCACAAACAATCATAATACTTTTTACAGAATTTGCCACGATGATGCTATACAAAATAGTCGTTCTGGGAGAGGGCGGTGTTGGAAAAGTATAAAATATCTTATTTATGAGTGTTTTGAATTGGCTAGTTGAAATTGGCATTTTCACTTGATTAATCTTTTTGATCAAAATTTTTTCTAAATTCAGACGTCTCTTACAATACAAGTTAGTAAAAGTAACGGTGTAATTCAGTATCTTGTGCTTTAATATTGAAAATTTTAAGCTTACTTGACTTTTTTTAAATGTTATTTGGTTATTTTACGTTTTTAATTATAGTTATGTTTAGATCGCTTTTTTGGTATGTATTTCGGAACTGGCTCTAAAAATCTAAAGAAATTTCATTTAATATCATCAATTCGTGCATTTATCTAACTCTTACGCATAAATCATTTTATTGGATTGTTTCATTTGCAAATAGATGTTTGTATTTCTGTAGTTCAATATCTACTCATTTTGTAGATTTATGATACTGTATTAATTAACCAGATACTTATTCAAATTAGGCATATGACCCAACTATAGAAGATTCATATCGAAAGCAAGTGATCATTGATGAACTACCTTGTGTCCTAGAAATATGGGACACTGCTGGACAAGGTTCGCAAATATTGTTTTAAGTCATTTTCGTATTTCGTGGGAATTATAGCATGACAAACATCTATAACCAGTGTTAAAGATCTAATGTTCTCCAGAACATTTAAAAAATAAACATTTGAAAACACTGCATTTATATATTATGTTCTCTTTCGAGATCAAACTCAGAACATAAAATTTATAATTTATGTTCTCATAAGATATATGAAAATATAATATAGATAGTAAAAATTGATTTTTTTTTTTTTTAAATCATTAAGAACATTAAAATTTTTTGAGAACAAAATTAACAATTTATGTTTTAGAAAAACAAAAAAGAATTTTTCAAATCTTTTTTACTGTCTACATCAGGAAATTTTTTAAATAGGGTGGATTTCGATTACTATAATCACAATCGATTAAAAAATAATCGATTTTAATTTAGTTTTGATATCAATCGAATTTCAATCAAAGTGATTCTAATCGATCTAATTAGCAGCTTTGTTTCAATCAGGATTGCTGGTAATCGGCAGGGTGCTGCTTTTGATTGACATTTATTTTGTCAATCGATTGCTAACCAATTTAAAAATTTCCTGATGTATAATAATATTGTCATGCCCTCTTTTGTCTGGTAGTCAAAAGTTATTAACTTTTAAAATATACCGTACAGCACTGACTTAAGTACCCGGGGTATTTTACAAATAGACCATTTTGATGGGTATTTTACTCGAAGGTACAGCTTGGGGTACCTTGGTCTAATAAAAATATGTATTCATGTATGTACTAGGTACATAGTATAAACGGCTATATCTAGATATTTTAGAGGGAACCTTTCAATAGATGGGGAGGGGTATTATACATGTGGGGATACTTTAGTCAGTGCTGTACGGTAATAAATCCAATAATGTTATGTAGTTATTTTCCAATATTTTAAACAAATATTTACTCACTTTACTCTGATCATTAAATTTAATAGAACAATATATAGCTCTACGCGATGGATGGATCAGGTAATGCATTTATAATAAAAGTTAAAAACTTCAAAAAAAAAAAAATCAAAAACGAACAATAGAATATTATTTCCCGATTTAATAAGTTTATTATTTTTCAGGGAGGGTGAAGGTTTTCTACTTGTATATTCTATAACTTCGAGATCGACTTTTGAGCGAATAGAACTATTACATGATCAAATTAGACGTGTAAAAGACAATGTACCAGCTCCAGTTATGCTTGTTGGTAATAAGTGTGACAAAATAACCGAGCGTGAAGTTTCAAGAGAAGAAGCCATGAATTTAGCAAGAAGGCTCAAGTGCGACTTTATAGAGAGTTCTGCAAAAGCAAATACTAATGTGCACAAGGCATTTTACGGTGTGGTTAGAATGATAAGACGGAATAGGGAACAGAATAGAGAAATTTTAAAAAAAAGAAAGAAAACGAAGTGTATAATTTTATGACTGAAATTTTGGTTAACAAAAACATTATTATTTAAAATTAATAAGATAAACCGAAATTTTATTCTTTACGCAACGAAATTTTTTATTTGTTTATTTAAAGGCTATTGTTTATATGTTATACTATTACTACATATCCATAGTTATCATACCTAGGTTGGGTAAACCCGGGTCAAGGCAGATATCCAAGTTTTGATGATGACACTCAGGTGAATGTGGATCAGTCCGAGGTCAATCGCATGAGTCAGCACTGTGGCTGTTAGACGAAACCTGAGCCTTTGTGCTGACCAATACAAAGTCAAGTTTTGTCTTTTGCGAATTAAAACCTTAATAACAAAAAAAACTGTTATTAGCAAAAGTGATAAAATTAATAAGGATTGGAAAATTACAGTTCTATTGGTTCTATTAGAAAAAGGGCATATTGTTTTGTTATTATTTGCTTTTAATAAATAATCAAAAAATAGGTTAATAATATATAATCAAAAAAATAGGTTAATAGTTAATAATATATAGTCAGTGTAATTGAGAGTTGAAATAAAGAATATGATTTGTTAATATACTATGTCAAACTTTCTTGATCATCCTGATTTACACGATACACGAGAATTTTTTAATTTTTTATTTTTTTGAATGGTCAATAAAAATGGGTCAGATGGGTCAAGAACAATGTTTTTGCGAGGTAGATTAATGTTGTATTCTATCAACTTATGTAATAGCTAATATTTGAATAATCTAGGTTTAAAAAATCACATGTTATATCTTATGGCAATATACTTCGGATATATGGTTTAACTTGTAACTCAATAACTCAATGATTGATAAATAATTCATAGATAGCATTTTGGTATGCTGGGGACGGAAACACTCATAAGTTTTTGATCAAATTTCAATAAGTTTTAAATGGAAATTCAAATTGCATCAACTTCAAAATATAGGACTTTATCTATATGAATTCATCCTGCGAATTATGCTGACTTTTATAATAGTAAAATTCTTCTTATTTTCCAATCTAAAATTATTTAAAAAGAAAAGCTAAATAGGGAAATGATGATATTAATGGAGTTATGCCTACGTAAGTTAGGTCACGAAAACAACAGTTTACGCAGACAACAGATGCTTGAAGCATCAATTAATTGATAGACATCGAATTTCAATTAAGATTTACGGAACTCCCGATTGATACACTAAATTACATGAATTCAAACCAACTAAAACGGCCAAATTATTGTCGTGACTGAAGCTGTAAATTTCAAATATTTTATCGAAATTTTTTGGGCACTATCTTATATTTTAAGAGTATAAATTGATTTGATAGAGTTTAAATTTTTAATCGGACTCTAATTTCCAGTTTTAGTCACGGTATTTATTTAAACTTGTGATTGGATTAAAAAGTTTGTTCATAATTGCTAGTGAAATTGTAAAAATCATGAACATATCGATATGTATACCAGCAAATTATTCAAATACAACTAGCAAGATTTCGCTTGCAAATATTTCATAGGTACTGGTAAAGTTGAATGTGGATCAACTTTATTTGATTTTTCAGTGTCTGTTTATTTTTCAAAGAAGTTTGAGCATACATTAAATTATTCTTGTAATTCGTAAATTATATAAAAATACTATTTTTTTTGCAAGGGTCGCATCACACAGGATGCAGTTGTCGATTATATTTCAAAACTATCAGAATTTACCTAAGGCCATGCAAATTTAATTACTTGGTTTTTATAACATGAAACTTTTAAATAGAATCGGCCGGCCGGCTTTTTTTTAAAAAATTTCATATATAAAATTTTATAAAATTTATATAATTTTTTTTTAAAACCCACATTACAGCTGTTTTCATAAATTCTGGAAAATCTAGCAAAATTGACCGACCGAATATTTGCCGATTCGGTAAGTTTTGATTCATTAGGGTGATTCATAATTAACTTATTTCAAAATATCCTATTTCTGTTTTGAATTTTGAAACCAAAATGAAATAGGAGTTATCCGGAGATAAAAATGTGTACCCTCTTTTTTTTGATAATGTATTGTTATTAAATGATAATATCGTAATGAATTAATCGGTTAAATTTTTTAAAAAAACTCTTAAATGATATTACATAATTATTTTCGAATTATTAATATTTAATAAAATAATATGCCTCCTAAAAACTTTTAAACAAACCATTAAAGAAAAGAACTTGAAAAAAATCATAAGATATCGATCTAATTCAATTTTTTGCAACAGTTCATCGATTTCTTTTTGAGAATATTAATTGTAATTTTATTATGAGTATTATTGGAATATTCTTCTATTAGTATTTCTAAATACTATTTACAATATGTCTTTAATATGTAATTGTTGATCAGAAATATAAGGCATTTTAAAATATATATGTGAAAGATATCAAGTTTTGAGAGAAAATTCACGATCATAAAAGTGTTAATTATTTATTGCTATTATATAAATAAGCTTACAAATCAAAATAAATAAGATTTATGAATCATTGGTTTCGAAATAAATACATCACTAATTTAATTCGAAATCAGATACCTGATCCTAATTCCGAATCATCTATCCGAATCAGAAGTTTATCACTGCGCAAAAACTTATCGAACCGGCGGATATTCGGTCGGTCAATTTTGCCAGATTTTCTAAATTTATGAAAACAGCTGTAAAACATATAAAATTTTTTTTTTGAAATTTTCAAATTTTGACCCGGCCGGGTTATGAAAACCAATTAATTAATTTTGCATGGCCTAATTTAGCATGACCCTCCATATTTTAGGTTTTAATTTTCTACATTTGAATTTTAGGAATGATAATTTTAAAATCTAAAAATCGATTTAACCAGCTAAGTTGATAATTTGTATACCCTAACCAATTTGTCATTATCGGCCAGAACCAATACTTTGGCTAATTTGACTTTTTAATAAGAAGAGAGACTCATCAGATTTCAATTTGGATCAAAAATCAAACCAATTATTAAAAACTTATAAAATTTGTAAACATGTCAATATAAAAATAACCATTATAAACACCTATTAAATTATCATGTTTAGCTTCGATAATAATAATAATCTTATATGTATATAATTAAATAAGATCATTTATCCGGCACCTTACTATGATCGTACCAACAGAATAACTCGAGTTATTTTGATGATGATTGCATAACTTCGTTATTTGATGATGACGCAATCATCATCAAAATAACTCGAGTCATTTCGGTCGTCGTAAGATACTGGATAATACCGTTATTGAATGCTACTCAGCCAATAACTTGTTTATCTGGCAGTGAATTTAATATGTCATTTCTGGGCCCCTTCGGGGCCCAGAAGCTGACATATTAAATTTAACAGCCAGATAATGAAATTATTTTCCAAATAATTTCCGTTATTGGCTGCTTCGCATCCAATAACTATATAGTATTTTCACTTCGAATTAATAAAAACTTCAAGAACAATTCATGAAGTTTTATAGAAAAATAATTTTTTAACATCGCGTGATTTTTCATGATTTTTAGTGTTACAAGCGAAATTTGTTTCCGCTAATACCAAGTGACTCAGGATATTTTTATTACGTACAAATTAACATTATAAGTCCATTAATGTTAATATAAAGTAGTAGAAGTATCAAAGTATCAATTTATAAACTTGTAAAACATTTGATAAAATAATATACAACTTAGAAAACAGATACATAAACATTCAATCCAATCAACAATCAATATATTATAATACAAAACGCATTAACCATAATTTCCTCTTATACTGTATGTACTTTTCTCAAAAGTGGATACGTAACAATTCTTGATCTGAATTAATGATAAGCGCGTTTAATAATTAAAATTTGATTCCTCGACACATTCCGATCCATTGATTGAGAATGCTTTAGTAAACAAATAAAGTTTATCAGAAAAACTACCTATATTTGACACGAATTTTGCTTAATATCTGTTTGCCTTATAGAAGGCGGAAAATTTTACAGGGGCAATTACTCTTGTATAATTCACCTTATTGATATTTGGATGTAGATATTTTACAAATTCACGAATTTCGAATGTACATTTTCTTTTCGGATAAATACTTTTTGGCTTTTAGAGCAGCAACTGTCGAATTTTTCACATATATACGTATATTTGCTTAATATATGTTTCTAGTATTCGTTCCGTTCAAGGAGTTCAAACCCAAAAAAAATAAAGATTATATTACCATAATCATAAAGAAGAAAATTTCCGAAGAGATTTAAAGGGCAAATGTTCTTTTTATTAATATAGTTATGTAGATTATTCGTTGATTAGTAGAAATTCAAAATGGAACATGTTGATTCCGAATTCAAGGGAATAAATAAACGACATATAACATATATAAATTTAATATAATGATAGTATTAATTTGAAGGCCCAATTGGTGTCTTCCAATAAATTTTAAATCAAAAAGGAATTGAAACTTTTTTTATTGTCATCAGGATCAAAAATCCATCTATGGTTTGTTTATATCAAAATCAATCACTTTAGAATCATCGGCTGTTTGATTATTGCTTAGTTTTTGCATTATTACTATTTGAATATCCAGTACAGTCGATTATTATTAAGATTATTTATATTAGTTTACACATAAAATAAAAATACATCATTTCAACACAAAGTATTTTCTTACCTGTGCTGTGCTATTTAATTTCATACTTTGTAAAGTCAAAGCTTTAGTGATTAATTGATTTAATAGTCGACTAGAATAAATTGCTTGTTCATTTATTTTAGTTCGTAAAATATTTGTACCTTTATTTTCTGGAAATTTTATTTCTCCTCCTTCTACTTTTCTAATAAGTTCATAAAGCCTAACTTCACCGATAAATGAAACTTCGAGATTTCTTTTTGCTGAATCTTGATGCCAGCATATTTCCATCAATTCAACTAAATCTTGCGGAATGTTAATTGGAATTTTTGGACGAAAACCATTAAGAATGTCCAGAATAAGAAATTCGTCATGTTTACGATCAGAAAATGGCCTGCAACCACTTATTACCTCCCAAATAATCATACCAAAACTATAAATGTCTGAAGCTTGTGTAAACTTCCCTCCTTTTAATACCTCTGGTGCAACATACGGAATAACTCCATGTATTTCATTTTCATCTGATGATACATCTATTGGTTTGCTTATTCCTAAATCTGCAATTGCTGGTCTACTATCCTTGTTAATAAGAATATTTCCACTGTGAAGATCATGATGAATAAATTTGCGTCTGCGTATATAATTGAGTCCATTTGCAATATTATTAATCTTTCTATCCAAGGTAAAGTATTTGCGCTCTTATTTAGAAAATAGTGTAGATCTCTATTCTGCGCAAATGCTATAACTATAATATAATCTTTTGTTTCAGGATTTTGCGTAATACCAAGGTGTCGATGGATGCTATCTTTATTTTTATCACTATAGGCACCAATATTTTTAACACAATGAAAAAAGTTTTTTAACTAAAATAACAAATAAAATACAATAACTGATAAGTTTTTAAATTTAAATCAAATTATATAAATATAATTATATAAATATAATTATATAAATATAATTATATAAATATAATTATATAAATATAATTTTATATACAAACCTCTTAGAATCTATTTTTTTAGAATTATTAAGTATTTTAAGAGCAACATGATAATTTTTTTGTCGATTAAATCTTTGTTTCTTATAATTCCAACCATGCATAGGCCCATCAACCCATGTTGCTTTATATATTACACTAAACCCTCCTTTAGCAAGGTATTCAATATCATTAAATTGTTCATATGGAATAAATTCTAATTTTTTTTTATATGCACAATGTAAATAAAAAGTTTGCGTTGATTCGATAAAATCGTCTATTAATTTATTACCACTTAACACACGTAATGAGGCTCGATAACAATCTTTACATTGATTGGAATTTTTATCGTAGTGAATTTTTCTAAAATCACATTTCTTGCACTTCTTTGTTATATATTTACGCCTAGAGACGAGTGAAGCTGGAGACTTACTCTCTTTAACTGATTCTGCATTATCTTGATTATCTTGTTGTAAAGTATTAATTTGTTTTTCAAAATGTTGAATAATTTTTGTATTATAACTATTTAGTGAATTTGTATTAGTTTGATCTTGTGTAGAGCATGTGGTCTGTTCTATAAATTGATTCTGATTCTCATTATTTCGAGTAATGCCTGTGGGAAATTTTATAGTCGAATTATTATAAATGTTTAGCGAATTGGTATTAATTTTGGTAAAATCTGCATTCCATTCCATAAATGAATTGTTATTGGTAAAGTCTGTAGACCATTCTATAGGTAGATTATTATTAGTTTGATCTTGATTAAAGTCAGTGGGCCATTCTATTAATGGATTATTATAACCATTTAACAAACTTATATTAGTTTGATCTTGAGCCAGGTCCATAGGCCATTCTGTAGATAGACTATTATTAATTTGATCTTCATAATTTTGAGTAAAGTCAGCAGACGATTCTATAGATGAACTGTTATAGATGTTTAGCAAATTTAGATTAGTTTGATCTTGAGTAAAGTTTACTGTCCATTCCATAGATAGATTATTATTTATGTTTGGCGAATTTTCTTCATTATACATTATATAGCTAATCAAAGTATACCACGCATTAGCTAAATTAATGTTTCTTTATTGTAGATAATATGGTTTTTGGAATTAAAACTCGGTCAATTTATATAGAATCCATATTTCGATTAATGCACAATGTTTCCAAATAGCGTAACATATTATTCTGTCGGCAATATTTTTTTAAATTAGAGATTCAAATATAATGACCAATAAATTATCTAAATGTAAATTTTTCGATTGATGAAACGCCAAGCCAAAAATTTTTTAATTAAGCGAAAATTTCCGGCATTTTACATTAGGTCTTGCGCTCTGATTTTGATATAGAATATTCAAATTTGTGTAGATCAATCCATATTTAGGCACCACAGATTTGAGGATTCTTCCATTACCAAAGAATATATTATTGGAATAGTTTCAAGGAATTCCACATGCAGGAGTTTTGACCTGAGGAAAATATCGTGTAAAAGCAGAATTTATAATACGTAACGATTAGATTTAAAGTTCAAGGCGATTCCAATTTCCTTTGTCTTCATATGTTTGCACATGATTTTTTACTCGAGAACTCGACTATTTACACCACATTAACCCAGGCGAGGGTTCAAAATCCTTAAAATTTTATTCGTTACAGCGTCTCATGTAGTATCACTAGTATCACCATTTGTATAAAAAAAATCAGATTATCCTTGCGTATCATCGAAAATTGGTCATATTTTTTAAAATTTGCATTTTTATTGCAACAAAAAATTTTATTGTTATTTTATATTCATTAAAATACCTGTAAATTTAGAAGAGACTTATAATATTTTCTCTTCCAGAAATGAAACTAGCATTTATATACATACGTATGACCTCAAGAACTACTCGAATACATCATCCTCTCATGAGGCCATTAACCATCCTGACAATCCCATCGAGATAATGACTAATTCTAGGGATTGATACATACCATTGATTTATAACGAGAAAACTTTACAACTGATAACATTACAAAAAAATCCAATATCGATTTATATTAATGTTATGAATTAGTCGTAACTAATGTGAGCTGCAGAACTGTGCCCCAGTATTAGTATTAACCAACAATTTGGACCGGCAGATTCTCGATTTTGATTGGCTAAGAGCGACGATCAAAAAATTAGGCCGGAATTACTCAT